TCACACGAAGGATGTACAGCTGGACAGTAAGGAACAAGCACAAAAGTCACGTGACTGAACTGCTTTGATATCGTATAGCTTGTCATTTTCACGGGTCAAAATTTTTGCGATTTTCTTTTCAACAACCGAATTATATTGCATTTAAAGGTATTATTCGCCCGCTTCTTTTGTACAAACTTCGAGATTGCAGGCGGTAGACACTGCTGGTGGACTTTTAGTCTTCGAACCAGCATATAACGTTTTATTAATTCGAAAAGTGGCATGGTTCAGGATATAAACATATAATTGACTTTCCTATGAAATTATCAGATACATAAGATTTACGAAATTTACTAAATTACGGGACCATTCCCCATCTATATTTTGAAATGTCTTCGATCACTTAGGATTGTCTTCGATACATGACTGACGAGTCCTAACAGGACGAAACAGTTGTATGATGTAAGCATCACTGACGAGTCCTAACAGGGCGAAACAGTTGTATGATGTAGCATCACTGACGAGTCCTAACAGGACGAAACAGCTGTATGATGTAACATCACTGACAAGTCCTAGAAGGAAGAAACAGCTGTATGATGTAGCATCACTGACGAGTCCTAACAGGACGAAACAGCTGTAAGATGTAGCATCACTGACGAGTCCTTGAAGGACAAAACAGCTGTATGATGTAGCATCATTGACGAGTCCTTGAAGGACAAAACAGCTGTATGATGTAGCATCACTGACGAGTCCTACGAGGACAAAACAGCTGTATGATGTAGCATCACTGACGAGTCCTTGAAGGACAAAACAGCTGTATGATGTAGCATCACTGACGAGTCCTACGAGGACAAAACAGCTGTATGATGTAGCATCACTGACGAGTCCTAACAGGACGAAACAGTTGTATGATGTAGCATCACTGACGAGTCCTAACAGGACGAAACAGCTGTATGATGTAGCATCACTGACGAGTCCTAACAGGACGAAACAGCTGTATGATGCAGTTTAAATTGTTTGCCTCCACGTTAACTAACTCTAAATGTATGGCTCATTGTCATAATCAACGTTTAAACTAGTTATCTACATATATTGCGAAGATTCATGAATTACACCTAAATATTTTACATAGATCTTACTGAGATATATTCTATTTGTTTGTACATTATGAAGCTGGTCGTTCTGTTGTTGCATACCTTGTTTTATTTTAAAATGTGACATTGCTTATGTACATGGATTGACCAATCAGGGTGGGTGTCTGCAATGAAGCAGAAGACGCTTACAGTTCCGGAGCATCTGGTCTTATTCTCCTCGTAAATTTTAGGAGTCTCCGTGTTAATATTTCTTTTGTTTATAATTTGCCCTATTTTTATTGAATTAGATTTTGGATTATGATTACGTTCACATGTTCATATTTTCTTGTTTTTATGTTGTGCCCATACCTATGTTTGTCACCAGAATAGCTCACATGAGTTAATGTTCCTTGTTAATACGTACACGACGTTAAATAAAGTTTCTTGTAATTATAGGGGTGCTAGGAAACTCTTGCTGTGGAGAACCCATGCTAAACTTTGTGACTACTTAGTGTTTTCTTCCAACAAAAAGTGCAGCAAGAGGTAGGCAGGAAAGATGTGACGTGATTATGAAGCTTGTCCTGATCATTGACGAGTGATTTTCACAATACGACTTTTAGTTTAACTGCTGTATTACTACTATTTGCATTGTGAGTTAGTTTTACAGGGCAAATATTATCGACAGTGGAGAGTATTTTAAACAGAATAGACTTTTATTCCTTTGGGGGTATACATAAAAGTACTTTGTCTTGGAACTTTTTCCGTGCAACAAAGCAGATATATTGTACTAATATCTAAACGCTGATGACTCCCTGGAGAAGTAGTTTTTATATTGGTACTTTTCTAATATATCACATACTTTGCTTATGGTTTTCATTATTAATAACCTTTTATCTTATTCTCCTTATATTCTAAGTACAATCTTTTCATTCGTGCTTTTACGTGTTTACAAAGTTATTCATTTCCAAAAGCATCATTTTCTAATGATACGGAATACTCTGAAGACTTTACAAAAGACGCAGGTATATACATATTTAGAATTAGATAATGTTTTGCCCACTTATGAATTTAACTGTCACTGTTTCTCTTTCTAGGACTTGTCAAGTTGTTGATTTATTAGATAAAATATACTGTTTGTTCATTACATATATTATTCAAGGTTTATGAGAAATCTAATTTACTTAACAAATATTAATATTGGTGTTAAAAGGGTAATTGTACATGATTTAATTAAAGAATAATTTTACCTTTTTGTGAGTTTTCTGGAATTTGAACAGATACACAGACTGTACTATAGCAAGATTTTTTTCTCTACAATATCAGGGTATTATAACAGCTATTGGGGAACTATGTTACCAACAGGGCTATATCTATTTAAAGAAAAATATTTAATTTTTCGAAAAAAACCCCCAAAAAACCAAGAAATCCGGTGGCCTTGACGGTCATCGAGATAAGCCATATTGAATATAAAGGTTAAAGGATAGTTATCAAGTGTCATGAAACAAAAATTGTGACACTGAATATAGCCAGTGTCAATACATTCATACCATCAAAACTGTCATCCTATACTGATTATTCTTATAAAGTTATTCCCAGTGGAAAATAACCAACGTTATGCTCAAAAATACAATTTCTCTGTAAAAATGTCCTCCCCATGAAGAAATGCGAGACTCATTTTGGTAATTAAAGCACCTCAAGATGCTTCCATTCATGAAGAGCATTTGATTCTACAATATCTGGGTCTAGAGAAGATTTTTGAATTTGACCCTTTTTGGCCCAGCCCATCAGCCCCTGGTGGTCAGTCAGGATCTAAATGGGCATACCATCAAGCCATCATCCTTCACACATAATTCCAACTAAGTTTGAAGTATTTCCAAAGGAAATTAAACAAATTATGCTAAACAATCTAGTTTTCCTATATAAACTATGTTAAATTTACCACCTCCCCACGGGGATATGCGAGACCCTAGGGCCATGAAATTCACAATTTTGGTATAGCACCTAAGATGGTTCCATTCATGAAGAGTATTTGACTCTACAATATCTGGATGTTGAGAAGAAGATTTTTGAAACCTAAGTCAATTCGACCCTTTTTGACCCCGCCCCTGGGAGTTGGGGACTGTATAAGTCACAATTTTGGTTCATCATAGGCCAGGGAAAGTTTCTGCAAAATTTCTTAGAAATCAGATCAGGGGTTTTTGAGAAATCAAAAGTGTTAAATTGTTTAGGGACACACGACCCACAACGAATGACCCATGATGCTGGATGAATTGTATTAGAATAGGTCACCATGATACCTAAAAAAAAACTACAAATGAAAGATTCTAATGATTAATTCAGGGAAAATGTAACACATATTTTATGGAATTATGAGAAAATGTAAATTTCTTCCAGAATTTAGAAACCTTTAGTAATTCTTGATCTCTTCCATTTCTACCCTCACTGCTTCCAATTATGATTATTATTTACTCAATTATACATGGACATGTTTGTCACCATATACATAGTCATGCTGTACATTTATTACAAATGAATAAATGAGATTCTGTTGAATAACTATGAATACATGATAATTACATAATCTTTTACTACTTATATATATATATATACATATAGGAAATGCCCTTTATTTCATCAAATTGTTTATATTTATAGAATATAATTATTGATATTTGTTGAAGTGAAATGAATATATTCCATTTCATTTTGATAAAAAAAACAACAATACTTTTTGGTGCAGTTAATCACAATGTAAAAGTAATATAACATGATAAACTTCACAATCAAACAGTATGTATACACATGGGCATAAGTAAGGGGCCATCAATTTTAGTATAAAAACTGTCATATTCCTTGAGGTAACCGGTACTATAATAAAATGCACATTTTCCTGACCACCTAAAGTAGTGTTTGGCTGTGTATTGCTGGTAAATCATTCATGTACTTATACTGATAAAATTGCATGTCAAAAATTGACAAATGCTGAGAGATGACAAGCTTTTGGAATGGTTCAATGTGATATGACATACAGGCAAGTAGCTGCACGTTTTTTAGCCATTCTCTTATTTCTCAGTTAATGCAGCGTCTGAGCCAAACCGAGTATGTTGTTGAGTGTCCCAGGTCTGGCAAACCTTGAAAGACTTCAGATAGAATAGATAGGCTACTGTGTAGACTAGTAAGGAGAGTCCCATTTATAGCTGCCAACAAGCCTTGGCTGAGAGGACAGTAGAACGTCAATGTTCCCGTTAGCTGGTGTATGTCAACAGATGCTTTAACAATATATAATACAATATGCTCTCGCAAACCAAAGACACGAACAAGAAAGACTGCAATGAGCACATGATCATTGGACATAGATTATGAGGTCCTGACAAAGAGTCTGCTAACAGTTGAAAGCCACTTTTTACTTAGTCCAACAGGAAGCAAGGTCTGTGTTTGTAGATCATGAACATCAAGTACATTCCAAGTACAACATTTGGTGGCAGTGTTACTGTTTGGGGATACTTTTCCCACGAAATTTAAATGGGCAGAAAATATTGTGATGATCTTTCGACTTAAGAAACATCATCTCTAAAATAATGATTTATTGAATCCAATTTTAAATAAGCATGTTCCTGGTACACAGCACCTCAGTATATAATAAAATATGTTATGAAAGAATTATGTCTTCTATCAAAATTGATATTTGAAATACTTTAAATCATTTTAAGCAACTATGATTATTATATGGACTTACTGAATGTACCTGCAATATGACACCATTCTTTGCTGATGCACATTCACAAACTCCAAGTAGACACTGGAATAGCAGAACAATGTTTGTCATGATCAGTAATGCTATCAAGTATGACAAAGATCAGTTGCAGCAGTATAAAAAGATATACTGATTACAAATTTATACTTCTACATTTACTGTTGTATTATTGTATGTTAGTTTACAATGTTGGTATTGCATTCCAATATTTCTCAATAAACAAGACATAATCCTACCCAATTCTGTAAACCATCCTACTGATTTAATTATGTTTATGTCCACACATGCGCTCCTGTAACGTTACTGGGCATTGATATTGCCATTATATATGTTATACATAATACATATGCCTTAAAAGTTATTTGCAGTTAAGCTTATTCTGATTCTAACAAACAGACATTAATGTTCATTTAAAAAGGAACACAAATACATACCGTACTCAATACTCAATGGCAAAAACCGACTTTCAAAAGTCAAAAACAACATGCTTGTTAAGTCAGGTACCTGTGTGAATTTGTTTATGTAAGGTAATTAAATATGTTAGGGTCACGATGATTGTGGTTTCCTAATTATCAATGGATCAAACCACATAAACTGTTTCATCGCGGTAACCAGAAATCAATCTTTCTGTAGATTTTTTTTTAATCTGACCCCAAAAAAGTACCTGTGCACTATATCCGAGTGTGCACTATACCCGCAAATTTACGGTATCTAGCAGCTGACCAACACATGTGAAATATCAATGCAACAAAATGACCCCCTGATCTGAATCTTTGGAGTTGATAGTCAATCATATCATATTTCATTTCTCTTTGATGGTAATTTTAACAATTGTGCCCCCATCAATATGTACTACACTTGAAGGATTTGTAGAGGGTATAACTGTCTTATAATCATGTTTCTTTACCAACACCATCATTTCAGTTCAGATTTATAGTAGCTGTGTATTAGAGTCATAATATTAAATCAAATTACTATGTGATATATGGTAATAAAAAAATACTGAGAAATACAAATGACTAAGAACAATTTTAAAACACTTCGTGGTAGGACTAGGTATGTGTAAAATATTATCTGTGACTCTGTATTTAGATTTCCTGATTATTTCTCTGTAAAAAATTCCATGTATATGATATGATATCTATATACTGTAGACATGCAGTACTTGAACATATCTAATCAGAACTAACAGTCAAACAAGGATCACCATAACTGACTTAAGGTGTCTATCAAAGGGGAAAGTCCAATCTTGAAACCATTCTTGAAAGATGTGCAGCTGTGAATATATGAGACAAAACTTGTAAATGAACAAGCAAACAAACCAGCTGACATAGGATTTCATCTTTCATTAGTCTCTTATATGTGTTCTATATATATTTAGGAGTTCAGCTACAGACTCTGTCTACAAATATCAATAGTTGGTGTATACAGTGCATCACATGGAACAATAATATAATCAGTGGTGCCGTGGACAACGTGATATAAAAATCAATCTATTCAGTTCTTAATCACATGTACTTTTGAAGGTGTCATCCATGTGAAACAGGGTTAATAAGCAGTAGTTGTATATCCATTACATTAGTGCCTGTTATCCCTGTCATCACTAGATTCTTACCACCGTTCACTGCCTCTAACAGGCTAAAAGTGTCATTATCATCAAGATACTTCGCTACATTATACCCGGATTCTCGACATTGTTGCACAAACTGTATGTCAACTACAGCCCCTGCAGCTGGCGTAGGTCCATCCTGACCATCAGTACCACAGCTAAGAAATGTCACTTGGTAAGCATTGGTCAATTTAGCAGGCATGATATTATCAAGTTCCATAGCACATGCTACAGCCATCTCTTGATTGCGGCCACCTCTACCGTTTCCTGTAACGTTTACAACAGTTTCTCCTCCTGTTATTATGCATACACCTTTTCCAACATTGTGTGCTTCATCACTTATGGTAGCCATCTGTTTCAAAACATTTTTAGGTAAATACTTACAAATTTCTAATTCTGCTGCTACCAGGTCTGGTGAACCAGCATCAGATGGTAGATAACCAAAGCACAAAATCATATATTTTGCCAATTTTGCGAAAACTGTACCAACAAATCTTGCCTCTCCATCCAGTTTACTACTGAGAATAGCTGAAATATAATCAATACTGTTGGCAGTTCTGAGGGCAGTCTCTGTAGCGATGACATTACTACCCACTATTACATTTTGCACATGAGAATACTCCTGTAGATTGTTCTCACTTGTTGAAGTTCCAGTGTTCCTCGAATTCATTGTATATCTTTCTTCACTCATTTTTTTCATCAGTGTATCATTTACAGACTTTGGGATGAGTTTACTTACACCAAGACGTCTAAAGATATCGAGGCAGAGATGAGGAGAGCTTGGATCAGGAACAGTGGGCCCACTACTGATGATATCTATCTTATCCCCAATGACATCTGATATAATCAGACATATTACCTGTCAACACACAAGATACAAGAAACACTGATCGTCAACTAATCAAAAACTGGTTTGAGATATTGTTAAGGTTATTCTGAATAGGTTTTATAATTTTGCTACTTTCAAAGACAAGATCATATTGCTTAACAAGAGTATCAGTGAATTGATGAATGAAAACAACTTCATTAGATGACAATGGCAATAATTCTAAAATTAAGGGGGTGGGTGGGAGGAGGGGATTGCTGGCCGTGAATTTAGTATATAACAATTCTCTTAGTGTGACACCGCGTTTTATTATCATAGTTTTAATGCAAGAAAAGCTATGCTAATGACACAAAATTTTAATAAAGGGCAACAACTCTGAATTGAGGGGTCATGGGCCCCAACTTTGCTACATTGCACCTTGTTCTTGTATGACTGTTGCATACATCACGTTTCAATATCCTAGATTAAATGCAGGCAAAGAAATGACAAAAAAAATTATCAAAAAACAAGAGGCCCATGGGCCTTAACGGTCATCTGACAAAAAGCAAGCCAAACCTAGAAAGTGGGTTGAGGTCATTCATTTGAACAAACTTGGTAGCCTCTCCTCCAAGCATCTTACAGGCCCAATATCAGCACTCATGGACTTTTGCTTGTTGAGAAGAAGTTGTTTGTATATTTTAACATATTTGACCCCTGTGACCTTGAAAGTGGGTTGAGGTCATTCATTTGAATAAACTTGGTAGCCTTTCCTCCCAGCATGCTACAGACCCATCGGCACTCATAGACTTTTGCTTATTGAGATGAAGTCCTTTGTATATTTTAACATATTTGACCCCTGTGACCTTGAAAGTGGGCCAAGGTCATTCATTTGAACAAACTTTGTAGGGCTTCAGCATGCTATGGGCCAAGTATTAGCCCCCTAGGCCTTCTAGTATTTGAGAAGAAGTTATTTAAAGCATTGCGACCTTGAAAGTTGTTCAAGGTCATTCATTTAAATAAGCTTGGTAGCCTTTCCTCCCAGCATGCTACAGACCCAATATCGGCACTCATAGACTTTTGCTTATTGAGATGAAGTCCTTTGTATATTTTAACATATTTGACCCCTGTGACCTTGAAAGTGGGCCAAGGTCATTCATTTGAACAAACTTTGTAGGGCTCCATGCCAGCATGCTATGGGCCAAGTATTAGCCCCCTAGGCCTTCTAGTATTTGAGAAGAAGTTATTTAAAGATTTTGACATATTTGACCCCTGTGACCTTGAAAGTTGTTCAAGGTCATTCATTTAAACAAACTTGATAGCCCTTCATCCCAGCATGCCACAGGCACAATATCAGCAATCTGAGCCTTTTGGTTATTGAGAAGAAGTTGTTTAAAGATTTTAACATATTTGACCCCTGTGACCTTTAAAGTGGGTCAAGGTCATTCATTTGAACAAATTTGGTAGTCCTTCATCCCAGCATGTCACAGGCCCAATATCTACACTCTGAGCCTTTTGGTTAATGAGAAGAAGTTGTTTAAAGATTTTAACATATTTGACCCCTGTGACCTTTAAAGTGGGTCAAGGTCATTCATTTGAACAAACTTGGTAGAGCTCCATGCCAGTATCCTCTGTGCCAAGTATTAGCCCCCTAGACCTTCTAGTATTTGAGAAGAAGTCGTTTGAATGAAAAGTTTACGGACGGCGCACGGCGCACGGCGGACGACGACGGACGAAGCATGATGACTATAGGTCATCGGACCCTTCGGGTCAGATGACCTAAAAAGTCAATAACTCTGTAATCATAGGGTCAAGGACTCGGATTTGCTACACTGCACATTGTCCTGGTATGATCAATGTATCTATCAAGTCTCATTTAAATGCAAGCAATTTAAAGCTATAGACACAGAATTTTAACAAAGAGTAATAACTCTGTAATTGAGGGGTCGAGGGCCCTGAATTTTGTACACAGCACATCCCCTTAGTATGACCTTTGCTTAATGTTGGCAAAGTTAGGCAACAGACATGAAAGAACAGCTAAAAAGATGGGCAGATGGACAGATGGAAGAACAAGGCAGCAACTATATGCTTCTGCGAAAGTAAAATGCAGTTCATTCCTTTATTTCTATGAATAATACATCCTTTCTCCATTAACGAAAACATGTAAGGCATTTACCAAGACACCATTATCTTGATTATGGTACTAAAATATCAAATGTTATGTGATATCACACATTCCTTACTTTCAGCTTGACAGTATATACAACAAGTGATGTTTAACTCAGGTAAGCTGTGCTGTTTAATAACCTTACCTTGCAAGGCTTGGCATCTCTTGCCAGCCCTCCACCTTTCAGAACCTCTGTTTGTTTACGAACAATGTTAAGGTCATTGATGGTAGCCCCATGGGTGGACAAAATGTTGGTTAGCTCAGCACTCTCTTCCAAAGTGATGGGCGGTTGTGGAAGGGGCAACAGTGCCGAACCTCCACCTGTAAAATAAATCTACAGTGTACATATGGCGATAAATTATCTTTCAATCTAAACATTTTAGTCTAAATCATTTAAAAACTTTTAAATTTCAATGCTATCACTAAAAATAACCTAAGTATCATACATCCTCTTTTTACATAGGATCCATAAACAAATTAAATTATGACAGATCTCGGATCTCTTTGTATGTGATCTGGTAATTTATTATCATACCCCAATACTTCACGTTTAGTTGTTAGATTATTAAACACAACATCAATCATCAAGTTTGGCTGTCATCTTATTTGGATGTAACCAATTTTGAACAAATTGTATTGTATGAAATGAACCCCTTCTTATGTCATTTTCCTGAACTGAATGAATATTTATGCAGTTGATTTAGCATTAAGAACAATCCATCAGTATGATTATTGTACTAATTCATCTGTATAATAGTTTTATCTAACAATCCTTCACTACACTGAATCTACAGTATGTCGGAAATCTATCAATGATTTAGGTTGATTTCAACAAATCTTGTTTAAACATGATAGATCCATGCCATGGCATTATTTCATTTGTGTGATTACAATTGGTAGCACAACCCTTGTTTTTGGTTCCACCACCTGGAATAGTTAGATAACCAACCTGATACTAAAACCAGGAGAAGATTATTCTTATTTGAATTCTTCACAAGGTCCCATATAGCTTCTGCAGCTTGGTGCGACTCCTTGTCTGGTAGGTTGTTCTTTGCACCCTCATATACAGTGATTTTACTGTCAGGGGCCAACAACTGGTCACTGCAATCATCAAACATATAACACAATACAATGTATTAGATTTTGAGAAAGCTGTGTACACAATTAAGACATGCATTAGAACAATGGACCAGAGAGGTAAACAATATCCCTGTCACTAAACGTTCAGTATATTGCTAAATTTTCCTAGAATGCAGAAATAAACTTAAGTCTTCATCCATCCACATAACAAATTTCATGTACCAACAAAACTATACTGCTAAGAAACTTTTGAAATATATTTCCTTTAGCCCTACCTTTATCCATAGTATCAAGGGCAAAAATAAAATGTGGGTTTAACTTTAAAATGTTAATTATATAATTTCTTATATTTTAAGTAAACATAATCATTTATATAATATAAATGTTTTGTAGTAAAATTACTTAAAATTCTTACCATTTTCCAGCACAACTTAGGAGCTCACAACATCCATATGGTACACTGATGGCACCTTTGATGATGTGCTGTCCTAACAAGTCATCAACAGATCTGGCCATTCCCATCACTGCTTTTCCAAATCCAACCACAATCACATTCTTATCCAATGCATACTTCCTGCCTTCCACAGTAAGAGTTTCACCATCCTCAGACAATTCTAAAACTCTCTCTATCATTTTCCTGGGCATAACTGCATCCGTAGATCTTTTGAAAATTTTGTTTACATGAATTCTCTGAATATCTGTAACATCACTTGATTTGCTGCTTGTTTCTTTGGATCCCATGTTTAGATTCAGGTTGGTTGTGAATTGACTACAGTTTCTTACTTTAATAGTTCTTGAGTTCATAGAAACATGTCCTTTGCTACTGAAAGTAGTCAAATAAGATATTCTTTTGACCCGTTTCACTTGTGTAGGAGTCAATGATACTCTGGAGGTTGCTGAAAAATGTGAACTGCATCTGTACACAAGTCTCCTGAAACAAACAGTATCAATACATGTTGTATCAGCTAGGTATATAAATTTTAACACACTATTTATATACAAATCACATCTATTACAATATAAAGCAGTATCAATAGATTATGTATCAGATAAGCTATTCAAATTTTAAGCAAACTATCTGCAAGCACTTAATATACAGTTCGAAGAAAACTGAACTTCGTATTTAGTGCATTTGATATAGTGCACACATAACTGAATATTAAAAATGTAGAAAACAAATTAGCACACTTCACTAAACATAAGCTATTCATACTTTCTATTTGAAGAAAAAAACCAGCAGCAATTCTTTTATTCAAGGCTGCTTTTGACAATGAACTGCACTGGCAGAATACTTTCATTGCTCTTTCCCATTACAATTTTGGCACAACTGAGGCGTCAGTGCATCTGATGTTGTCTTTTGAGTGAAGCAGATGTAATGTAGTGAGTGTGTACTTAAATGCACAGTCACCAATTTGGCCAGCAGACATTTTCTTTCAGTTTGTTGGATTTATTGCCCTATGAGCAGCTAGAGTCATTCTGAGATGGTCTCTCCTTCTAGTAACAATCTGGTGGCTGTACTTCAGTCAACAACATACCAGTACAGGGGACCTTTTGGTCTTCGCATGTCAACCACAGCAATTACTATGAAGTGTCTAGCCCTAGAATACAACCACAACAACACAAACTGGTCCACTACTCAGCCTTGTGAGAAACACAAAACACAACTCAGATCTCCAAGTCCCTCTGGTCGATGTATCATGTTACAAAGAAAAGATATAATTTGTTGTTGCGATTTTGTACCTCTGACTTGAGAGATTTAAAGGGGACAAGGTACAATCTTCTCTCTACAGTGTGTTATTATGCACATAAATCAGTGACATTTTATATGTAAAACTATAATGAATTAATACTCATACTGTTTCTATGCTTTATATACAGACTGAAACAGATGAGAAATCCTCTGATGTCTGTGCATTATGTTAGGTATGGCGAGTTGGTACACTTGGCCTTATTTCAGCCTATTTTTTCGACGCTATATGCGCGTTCGAAAAACAAAAATATGCATGCTTCATGATATCAGATGTCATATGTTTATCCGATTGACATGTCATATGTTGATCAGTCAAAACAGGGTTTTAAGGAATAAGGTAGCCTTGCAAATAGTTTTAACCAGCTTTATGTCTCACGTTGAGTTGTCGTCCGCCTGGTTGTCTAGCCTTTATCTCTTATGTATCACTGGACTCTGAACTTACCACATAGCAATGACTATGTTGTCCCGATAAGAGATTTCTCAACTTTTCGTCTGCTAGCTTGACCAATGATTCGTACGATAGGCGGCGTTGACGTACTACGTAACGTGAAAGATGTGAAGGTGCGCTGAAAATGAAACGATGCTTATCATTCAGGTTATTAAAAAAATAAGAAAAATATTTTTGTATTAACTATAGTCGGTGAAGCACGATAACTTATGAAAGGAGTATCACAAAAAATCCCCTCAAATATTTTATTTTTGTGTATGATACTTTACATTACAATAAAGCAAGGTCCGCAGCAAATGCGACAAGACGCCATCAATTAATCAAAACGAGTTGAAATGAGAGAACCGGCAAACATGAAACTTACAGATTCAGTCGTGCAAAATTTTCGAGTTGCTAAAATTTTTAGAGAAAATACAGATAGAATTACGAGCTTAGACTATTCAGCTAATGGCGAAACGCTTATTTCAAGCAGCGACGATGATTCAATTGTAATTTACGATTGTCAGAACGGAACGTAAGTGTGACGACCCTTCATGAGTGGATACTTTTGGCGGGCACTATTTCAACCAAAACAGCAAAATCCCAATCCCATTTTACTAAAACAGAAAGCCAGAGCTGACCTGAGATGTTCAAATGATAATACTATACAGTGATAACAAAGGGACAAATTCCATCGATAACTAATTTGATGGCGAACTGCCATTATCCACACTGGAACCATCGTGTGGCCAGTGGACTTAACAGATTTTAAATAACGACGATATTAAAGTACCATTATAATTTGCTATCCAGTGTAAATAGAGATCGATGGACTTCTATACCCTATTTCCATATGTATTTAAGTATCCAATGACATCATTCTGCAAGAATACGTGTATGCGAAAAATCCTTTATCTCTCCTCTGCCACTTAAAACAGTTACTGTCTGAAATTTACCAGAAGAATACAAACGAACCCAAGAGTAGTTCTTCACTTGCTGTGTCAACAAATTGCTGTGTTGTATTGCTACAATGAGGAAGATATTAGATTTTAATTATTTTGTCAAGAATTATCACAATGACATAATTAATTGCTTCTTATTTTTGTGCTACTAAAGATGTTTTAAGATATCCTAGAAAATGCATTACCTAGTAAGAGCTACAATTGTTACTCTTGTCTGTGGAATGGACTTAAGTTAAAGTTGTTAAAATATCATCTTGTTATGGTGGCAAAAGTGGGTCCAGTCACTTTGATCAATGTTCTCCGTAAAAACTACTTTCTATTGTTTTTTTTGTGCATACACGACGAGTGTTCAGTTAATTAAGATAAGGAAGATATTACGGAAAAAAAAGTTAAGTAACTCTCTAATGATAATAAACAACTTTACTAATATTAAATACATACATACATTTGACCTTTTGTTTTGGACACATTTGACCCTTGTGTTAGCCATTGATTATGTAGTTATTAATTATATCTCATTTAATGTTTCAATTCATTTGGTTCAATTTTATGAAAACAAAGTTGAGTGGTCAAGTACACACAATGAACAAGTATTTTTCTAAATCACACTGTATAAGTGTTTGTTGTAACCAAACATTACAGAGCAGTATAGGTAGTCTACAAGTTGTCTGCAATGTAGGTCATGTCACTATTTTGAAACTGTTAGATTTATATATATATAAAACCACAATATAAGTAAGGATTTAGATTTGATTTATCAATGTTTTGTTTGCCTTTCTAGACCAAAACGAACCCTGAACAGTAAGAAATATGGAGTTGATTTGATTTGCTACACTCATGCAGTTAACACAGCTCTTCACAGCTCAACAAAAGTTGATGGTAAGAAATAAATTTGTATCAATTTTTCAGACAAATGATAATGTAATTTAAATGCTAATAGACTTCCTATTTGTTCTACCATTCATCAATGTTTATTATAGATTAGCTGTTATGAGGATGCTCTATTTTTTATGTCCCCGCCATTTATGGCCGAGGGCATATAGCGTTGCCCATGTCTGTCCGTCCCGTCGCGTCGCATCCCGTCGCGTCCCAAATCAGTATATACCACCTAACAACTTCATTCGGAAGGCAATTTTCATGAAACTTCATACAAATATCAAGTATGGAAAGACCTCAGGCAGTTTTGAATTTCTCGGCATTCTAAAAAAAGATGGCCACCAGGGGGAGATAACTCCAAAAAGAGGAACATCATCTTATTTCTACATAATTTGGTACTTGTGGGTTTTAAGGCATAAGGAACTAATATACTCCCTCATTTTTTCCAGAGAACAAAATTCCAAATTCATGTACGTTAAATCAACTTGTCAATTTAAGTATGAAACAAAAGTTGTACATAGTTGCATACAAATTAACAAAATCATCTCTTTCGGACCTTTCACTATTATTTCATGGGGGGGGGGGGGGGGGGGGGGGGCATTCATGTCTTACAGACATTTTCTAGTTTGTTTGAATTTCTTACCTGTATTGAGTTTCTTACATGTATATAGACATTGTTTCAAGAAGTCATAGATACTAAACCTGACTCATATTTTACAGATAACTTTCCATACCAAAACATTATTCTGTTGCAGTGCAGAAATGTAGTTAAGGGTGAAAGTATATAGATAATAACACATTTCAGTGACTTACATGTAAATCATTGACACAATGTCATGTTTTTCAGATACTATTAGATACCTGTCTCTTCATGACAATAAGTATATACGATACTTTCCCGGACATACCAAAAAGTAAGTATTCATACTCAACTCATTTTAGAACTCTAATATTCCAGCAAACACTTGATAAAAAAAGATGTTTTGCAGAAATGGAGTTGATAGTTTGCTCTAACATTTCCATAAATAACTATTTTCTTTCAGATATATTTCAAATTGACATTAAAATCTTGCATTAAAACTTTTGATATTGAATTCAGTGTTTCTCCTTGTGCCCTTTCAGGAGTCTCCATGTAAATCTTTCTTTTGTCCATATTTTGCCCTAGTTTGATTGAATTTGAGTTTTGATTATGATTATGTTCACATGTTGGTATTTTCTTGCTGTTTTTGTATACCCTTAATCTGTCTGTCTTTAGGGTAGTGACATTAAATATGTCACCAATCAATGATTCCTTCCTGTCAGGATCCCTGGACAAAACTATCCGCCTCTGGGACCTTCGGTCACAAAATTGCCAGGTAAATTTACTTTCAAAATATCTTTGCTGTTTAGACAATGTCAGTTCATTGCATATTCAGTTATTGATTGATTAACTAGTAAATATTGGTGTTTGATCGATGACAGCATCTGAAATATAAAAAATTATTCTTCAGAAGTAATGCAGTACTGGTCTTCCACTTGCATAGACATTGTGCATTTGCATTTGAACTTAAACACTTACGTCTATATAAACCCTTATACTTGTTGCACCAGTATTGGGCTTCGCTGGTTGCCAGGTTGAAACACTGACCATAATTAATCTTTAACACCCAGGTGGCACTACACCTATAGAGTGTTCGAATATTACAACACATGACACATATTGTATGCTTTATAGTTGAATCAGACACCCATATATAATTTTATGAATATATATATGAAGTTTATGTGTACATGTCATGCTGTTCTTACATTGCAAAGACTATTCTGCTGTTTTGCTATGCATTATAAATATTAGGAATGTGTTTTGTTTTATATAACATGTATTTGTTTTCTTCATTAGGGTTTGATGCATTTGCCTGGTCGTCCAGTAGCTGCATTTGATCCTGATGGCCTCATTTTTGCAGCAGGAATCAATTCAGAGATTGTCAAATTGTATGATTTGAGATCTTTCGATAAGGTAAAGTTACTGTCAGTACTATTGTCACATCTCATGATGATTTTTAAACAGGGGTGGCTGTTGCAGGACTCTTTAATACATAAGAGGGTTTGAAATCAAATGATTGCAATTTAGAAACACCATGAAACTTCCTTAATATTTAAACATTGTCTTTAGTTTAATATTAAATGTCTTTAGAGTGTTATTTTGATATTTACTCTGTTGCTTTAATAGGGTCCCTTTACTTCATTCAAACTATCACAAGATCGTGATTGTGATTGGACTGGGATGAAGTTTAGTCCTGATGGTAAACTTATCCTCATCTCCACAAATGGCCAAGTCCTCAGACTGATCGACGCATTCCAGGGAACACCTCTTCAGACATTTATGGTAAGTTGGTAAAGTCTTCCTTAGAAGAATTCCAACATTTGCGAAAAGAAATGACTTTGATCCTTATCCAAGGTTCTGTAGGGAAACAACATTAATGCTGCAGAGGGAAGCTGGATTTTTTAGGGTGGGTGCATGGGTGCAAAGATTTTTTTTTAGTTTTAGGCATTTTTGATACATAACAGTCAAACCTGTCTGAAAGGCTGCCTTTACATATACTGGCAGGTTGCTTTTTGAGTTCCTTGTGTTACACAATTGATAGTGATTGAACCTCTATATAAAGGCCACTTTTCTCTGCTTTCTTGATTGGCCTTTATAGACCGATTTTCCTGTCCTTCTTTTCAATAAGAATCGTCATGTTAAAAGTTTTCTGATTGCTATTCACTTTATACAATGTAACAATACAAGGAAATTGACACATTGGAAAGAGGTTTTTAAGGAATCAAACATTGATGCTCTATATTCAAATTGTGAAATTTGGGGACTAGTAGGGGACAGTTTTGTTTAAGCAGCACTTGGTATGCTTATTTAGTTTTTAAAATAAAAACCTTAATATATCACATTTCATTATCTTTGATTTTAATACCTTGGCTTGATGTATGAATGCTTTCAGATGATTACATTTCAAAATATATAATGACAGTATTGAACCAATAAACATCTGCAAGTTAGTTTTTGAACAATAGAATTTCAAATTCTCCTGAAACTTTATGATATTCCAGCAACTGTGCGACAAAGAATTTTAATAATTAAAATTTGACATCATATATTTATATATACATATATCACTTGGACAGGGTTTTCAAAACAACAAGGGAATTCCACTAGAGGCATCCTTCAGTCCAGATTCTCAGTTTGCTATGTGTGGTAAGTTGAATGTTAATTAATTTTGGAAAATCAGCCACAATTTCTTCGTCCATTGATATTAATATCAGTATTGGAACCATGATTGGATGTAGCAGCTACTTTGTATCGTTTTTATTTTGGGGCCAAATTGTTGATTCAGAAAAATACAATACTGAAACCAACTTGTATCAGCTTTAATTTAAGTCATCACTCTTATTGATCTGAATTAAACTGTGGCAGAGATTTTAAATATCTAAATTGTATTAAAATTATCACAGGTTCTACTGATGGCCGGATACATACATGGAACACAGATACAGGTGTCAGGGTGTCTGTTCTCAACTGTGATCATCCTGGACCAGTTCAGTGTGTTCAGTTCAACCCCAAATACATGATGCTGGCAACTGCTTGTACAAACATGGTGAGTTGTTTGTTCAGTGTCATACTTTGAGTATTGTAAATTTGATTTTGGGTTTTTATGCCCCCTCTGTTGTAGGGGAGAGTATAGTGTTTATAATGACAAGTGATTTATCTCTTATTATGAGTACGTTGCTATATATGTTCTACGCCATCATGTTAGAGGCACATATCACATAGGTTTCCTACTGTTTAACACGTGTCTGCACTACCACAATGCAAAAGGTGACCTATATCCTGGAGTGGCAGTGATGCAAGTCGAATGTTATGTCCCAGTCAATAGATGACCACTGACGAAATATTGTGCAGTAATATGACCAATTTTAGCTGAGGTTACATTTAACACAAGGTGGATAAGAAGCATGTGGCGTGTCATGTCACCATTTGTTCCTTGGACGCACAGGACACCAAACGTAATTTAGTGTCATCATTACATCTTTGCATTCTGTGATAAATTTACTATTTTGATGATGAAATGTGCACAGACAATACTCTGGTAAAACAACTGTGCATGACATTACACTTTATACATTAAAATTTTCTGGTTTATGTTTTATGACGGGTATATCTACAAAATTATTTACAAAATATGTCTGGGATATAACATGGATTTTGATTCTGAACTGGATGTAACGCAGGATACCATAATTGCAGCTTTTGAATAAAAAGGAGATAAAATTCATTTTTTTATTTTGAAAATTTTCATAGCCATTATTTATTTAATAGCAATATAGAAAAAATTGCATTTGCATCTATAAGTACCCTAAAAACCTTGTTGATTGCAAAATGGGTGTGTTGTTACGCCAGCTAATTATTTTTATGAATAAAAGTTTTTTCATGACCTAAAATTGAAGTTATAAATATTCATGGAAATACCTTTTTAAAGTTGATAGGAATTGTTTATTAATTTGACAATAAAATGTACTTGAAAAGGAGATATATTCCCAAATGAACAGCCTTTGGTGTCCTGTTACATCTAGAAACTCTACATAAACAGCTGTATCTTGTCGTCATTCAAAGCAGAACTATCTTCTCCTTTATTGCTCAGGTTGCAACATCATTTTCTGATGTGAAATCCATCACATTATTTTGTTTCATCTTGTTATAAATTTTCAAAAAAAGTTGTTTCGGACATAACAAATATTTTATGATGCCAAATTCTGTCTCTGTTTATTATTTTCAGGATATTGTGTTTATTTGCTGATATTGAGTTTAACTTTATCTATGTTTTTGTGTGTTTTTCAGGCATTCTGGCTCCCTTACATAGATGACTGAGTTCAATATTTGACACTATTATGACACAAGGTGTGTTTGAATATTCTTAATATGTGGTCACTCCAGGTCAGGAGGGCAAAAACATGTAAAACTGTGATTTATAATATGCTGATGGTACAAACATTTGGCAACCTACCATTAAGAATGCTGTTTACAGTGATTGGCCCATGTGCTGTGTGTGTGCACAGTGATAGTGTTAATTGCACAGTGATAACTGTGGACAGTGTTAATACTGTGTACAATGATTAGACACAGTATACTGTGTGTAATTGAGTATACTGTGTAGTAATTACAGAGTATGTGTGTACAGTAATTACAGAGTATACTGTGTACAGTAATTAGGCAGAGTATACTGTGTACAGTAATTAGGCAGAGTATACTGTGTACAGTAATTAGGCAGAGTATACTGTGTACAGTAATTAGGCAGAGTATACTGTGTACAGTAATTAGGCAGAGTATACTGTGTACAATGATTAGACAGAGTATACTGTGTACAGTGATTAGGCAGAGTATACAGTGTACAGTGATTGAACAGATCACTAACTACAGTGGTTGGTCAGAATACTGTGTACAGTAATTAGACATTATACTGTGTAAAGTGATTGGACAGATTACTATCTGCAGCAGTTAGTCAGAGTACTATGTACAGTGATTGGTCAGATTACTGTGTACAGTGTCGGGTCAGAGTTCTGTGTACAGTGTCGGGTCAGAGTTCTGTGTACAGTGTCGGGTCAGAGTTCTGTGTACAGTGATTGGACAAAGTACTTCTTGCAGTGATTGGACATAGTACTGTGTACAATGATGAGACAGAATACTGTGTTCAGTAACTGGACTGAATACTAGCTACAGTGACAAGACAATGTACAGTGCTTTTGAATGTTGACACTATGAGATTGGGCAGAACTATTCTTGAACAGTATTTGTATAGTGATCAGATAGATTACTAGTGTGGAAAAGGCAGCTGTACTGATTGTAAATATAGCTACACTGTAAATATGTTAACAGAAAAACAGCTTCCAGTGCTAGCTTATTAAAGTTCATTGAAATTGTCAATTCAAACAGTTCACTTTTTTAGAAAAAAACCATCAGGATCATTCATGTTATTTGTGAAGTTTATTATCATTTCTGTACTTGGTTTTTAAAATAAACCTTTGTACACTGTTTGTAATAATGACACTTGTCATTATCTAGATGTAAAAAGGAAGTGCTATTAGAGAAAATCATCATTCATTTTGACTCTTGGGTAAAGAATTATTGAAGTTTTTTGTCTGGGGATTGCTGATTCATGCAATCTCATTATTTCTGGCTAAATATATCAAATAAATTTGGACGGACACCTTTAAAGTACATAAATAGCTTGGTTTTATCTGTATCATTTTGTATTTGATCAAAACTAATTGTAATACAACAGATTTTCTCCTAAGAAGTTACAACTATAAATTCTATAACTTTGTTTCACATGTATGAGAGTTATTCATTGTATAATATCATGATGTTTTGTTTATGTGTACAGATACACTGAAGAGAATGCCTATAATCATTTGTATAATTGCATTTTTCATTACACTTTCTTTGATATTAAGCTAAAGATTCTGTTTTCAATTTTTGAAAAAGGACAAAGTATTTATACAGCTTTGTTGACTAGATATATAGTATATTATTATTTGTTTATCATTTCTGTGTTTGGATCATAACTTGTTTTGTCGATTGTAATATTTTGCTAAGTTTTTCTTGTGTGTCAATATCCTCATACCAAAAATCAAAGATTTTTCAACCACTTCATAATGTTTTTTTACTTCAGACTTTTATACCACAATCTCTAACACCAATATTGTGCAATAATTATAAGGCATCATACAGTTTTAGGTTTAAAGTTCAAACCCATTTGTCCTTTAACATTTTCCCAAAAGGAGCAAGGAATTTTATGAAACTAATGCTAATAAATGTTTTGAAGTACTTGTCACCCTTTTTTGACGTGGAATAGATTTCTTCTCAGAAAAGTTAAAAAATGTAATTCCCATGCATAGTTTGTACAGCATTTTCAAGTTCCTCAGTATTTGGCAAAGGATATATTTCGGTAGTATTTCATGTTGATTAGCAATTGATATTTAAAAGTTACGACATACTGATGTGCTGACAATTGATGTATTATACTCTAGGAAACTTACTAAAAAAAAATACCAATGTGTAGCATTATTAAGCAATGCTATTTGTATTTCTAGACTCCGGCTTTAATAGAAACTCGCAATTGAATTGTAGACATGTATATTGAGTACACCACAAAGAAATTTCATTCTCATCGCAATATTTTGAAGGAAAATATCATTTTGTATTTCATCTCCTGCAATGAGAATAATTTGAAATATTGTATTAAGTTCATGACTCTTCATTACAATGATCTGTCATATTTTCTTTTAAGAGAACTTCAAACAGGAAAACTATTGTAAGGTAATACTATAGGTAACTAATAGAGTTAAACATATTAATATTTAGTAAATATATCATATTAACATTGCATAGTGTTTTAGGGGTTACTTAAATATATATTGTGTTCAATTTAAAGTATCATTTTAATTTCATTTCTAGTTTATGACATTTTTCATATATACGTATTAGCATAAAATGATGACTGCCCGAAGTTGTATTTTGTAATTTCATAAAAATCAATACCAAAAGACAAGTCAGCATGATTTGGAAGTTCTGGTTGACACATTGATTGTTGTAGGAAGTGAAAATGTAATGTGTAGTGTATTTATTGTGTGAGAATTGTTTGAAGACTTACTGATGATATGTTTTGTACACTCACTGACATGTTAGTGAGAATAGACAGCTAGCCATTTATCATTTATTTTCATTTATGTAAGATATTACATTATTGGTGTGCATGTTTCATCTTAAAATATGGTAACATTTTTTTATACTTCTCAATTTTTTTATAGAACATTGATCATGTTCAATGGATGAAGAAAGTGAGATTGAGAGTTACAAGTAAGATCAATACAATATACAGTGTACTGTATGTGGTAAATTAAAAACCCAAAATACCAATCTGTTGTTCCTTTTTTATGTACTCAAAAAACCAAATATAAATCATTAGAGCAACACTTCATATATCTCGATGAGATATATACAGATACATAAAAACAATATCTAATGTCCCAATTTCAAGTCATCTGACTGAAGGGTCTGATGACCTATTGCAATTGCCTTTTGTCTGGTGTCGTACTTCGTCCGTCGTAAACATTTTCAACTTCTTCTCAAGTTCTACATATCTCATTGAGCTGAAACTTACCTGATATGATCATGACATGATCCTGATCAAAGTTTGATAATTTCAGGTTGGTCCGAAATCAAATATGGCCACCATCTTGAAAACACATTTTCGACTTCTTCTCAAGTTCAAAATTTGAAATCTTGTATTTTATGTCAGATGACCGTTAAGGCCCATGGGCCTCTTGTTAGTTAACTTTATCTTCAGGGACCTGTGAACTGATCTATGCCCTTCAAATCATTTTGTTTACTTAAAGGTATAAATGGAAATGAATGTTGTTTTGATTATGATTCTGCTAAAACTAGATAAGCAAACCAGGATGGCGAGCATCTTGTAAAATATTGTGAGTGAAATTTCAGCCAAAAAGTCAGTAGATTACTCCTTGTTAATGCAACAGAAGATCTGATTAACAGAATGTTAAAAATTCTCATGTTAGTCATACCGTATGAGTCAATTTTGATAGTTAACCAGTTATAATGCAAGGCTCAGACCCCATGTAAAGTTCCAATAGTCCTTAGCTGTTTTTTTAAATAGTAAAAGATGCATGGTTTCTTTTTACATGCTCCTCAAAAAATTTGAAAAGATGCATTATCGTATAGTATGTCAGTCGGTCATAAACTTTAATTTTCCTGTGATCTACTCTCACAGTTTTTCACCAGTTGCTGTGACACTTGGTAGGCTTAATCAAGATGACATGAAGCTGTTTTCCTGAACTGCTGTTTGATTCAGCTATATTTGGAAGAGTTACTGCCCCTGGCCTTTTAATCTTGAATAGAGATCTCCTCCATCAGTTTTGAACTGATTTCTCTGAATCATGGTGGGCTTTGTAATCTTTAGATGAAATTTTGCTTTCCTTCCTGGCATTGTGAATTTTGAAAGAGTTATAACCCATTTTTCTTACATCACTTAATCTTGTCTAGAGATCTTCACCCTGACTTTCTAACAAATTTCTATGAAAGATGAGAGGCTTTATACCATAAAATGGCATTGTTTTTATGAAATCTCTATTGAAAAAAAATATTTCAAAGAGTCATTGCCCTTTTTTTCCCATGATCTTGAAACTTAGTATGCTTTAAAATATCATAACATAACACATTGTTTTCCCTCTTGGCATTCTGACTAAATATTTTGAACAGTCGTGAATATTTCTGTGGTATGGGACAGCTGTATATTGTTCTGCTCTGCAATACACTTGTCCTAAGTTGTGCAAGTTAAAATTTTGGAGTTAGTGCAGGAAATTTGTGACTGCAATAATGTTAAATTTGTATTTTTCGCAATAATTTTTACAAGATGTGCTTCAGGATGCCAAGGTTAAGGTCGCTATTAAGTGTGCATAGCTTATAAATAAGTAAATACAAAACACCTTGAAACCATAATTTTATTGATGATAATATGTTTTGAGCAGAACAGATGAACAATGGTTGTTAAGCTTATACCAGCTATTGCCAGTTGAAGACTATGCTATGTATAATTATATATATAATATTCCATCCCACATCTAAATCCATATTGCAAATAGTAATAACAAAACAGAACCCAAGAATTGCCTACAAAATTGTAATGAAGGAAAAGAAGATTAAAAATATAATGTCTCCAGACCCTGTTGTTCTGAATGAATATAAAGGGGTACGTTGATGTTAATTTTTCTAAGCATTGCAATAGTTTAACATCAATAATTTCAATGAAACATTTAAGAATTAAACAAAATCTGGACAATGTGGACTAAAAATGAGACAGACTCCCTTAAAGAAAGGGAGTTGGTAAATATGAATATAATACAATGTAATCAGATTACAGTTTTAGTAATAACTCCATGTTCAATGACAAGATCGGTTGTAGCAGAGAGATGGCATTCACTAAATAACCTTATAATAGGTCATATTTCTATTTTGTATACGATAGAGTATTCCTCTTCTTGTTTTTATGCCAGATATACATTTACAAGACAGCATTAATTTGCAGTAATGTTGATATAACATTAGGCACAAAAACAACAGAAACACTAAATACTAGTTTACAACAAACTAGTATTGATTTCAAAGTCTGGTCTGTCGTATTTGTATATTATCTTATAAACAGGCTGTCGAAGACTGGTCTGTCGTATTTGTATATTGCCTAATAAACAGGCTGTCGAAGACTGGTCTGTCATATTCGTATATTACCATGGTACCTGATAAACAGGCTGTCAAAGACTGGTCTGTGGTCTGTCGTTTTCATATATTATCTAAAAAACAGACAAACAGGAAGACATTATGTATCTCGAAAAAACAAGTTATAAATCCTATTTCACCAGCACCTTAAAACATATCTGTATACATAACAGTAACTAATTATAAATACATGTTAACTACAAATGATGGTAACATACTATGTATATATGCATCAAAAAGCTATGTATATGTATATAAGTATATAACAAACAGTTACAGAAACTGGAAATTCATTAACAAGTTGTGACAAAGTAGAACAATCTGCACTCGAAGCTGTAGCATTCATTTAGATAGCATACATGTACACAGAACTCTGCTTCGCTACTCCTCCAACAAACTAACAAAGGTATGAAAATGTACCCAGAAATTACACTCATATTAAACTATTATACAGAATGTAATGAAAAGTTTTCCAGTTGCTGGTAAAAAAAGAAACATATATATTGATATGCAAAAGTAAAGACATACGTAGGTATATCCCTACTGAAAAATGATAAAGTTTACAAAAAATTTGTCAACTTTTTACTTTCATTCTCTAATACATTTCCCACTCTCCCACCTCGTGATTAGATTACCAGGTAGTCAATGTAACAAATTTTCAAATAAACCACTTACATGTACCTTTGATTTTGATGATGCAAACATATGTTATCCTTAATTACATTTGCACTTGAGCAGTTCTTCGTTTGACACTCCAGAAATTAATGACCTTAAATAGTTTAGAAATAATCCTGTTCCATAATCAATTAATATTGAATTTGAGTGTAGCTTTAGTATTGTTGAAAATAGATACTGTCAGTATTTTGAAAGATGTATAAAATTGAAAACTCGCAGAAATACTTTGATTGGACTAAAGACGAAACTAAACATAAAAGTTCTAATAATTATATACAGTGTAAATCGTTCAAGTTATTATTTGGATTTTTTTTATCACATTAATGAAGGTGGAAGGAAACTGCAATCTGAAAACCAAAATCAATAGAGAAACGTATTGTCAAGCATGTAATTCCTGACAAGCACATCCTTTTGTCTCAATCATTTGCTGAAAACTGGGGTGCCTGTCATAATTGGAAGCAGAAAAGAACCTTAAAATTTACTATAACTACTTAGCAGGAAAAAGCTACCTACAACAACATCCAACACAACACAGGCTTATACATCAGCCATGTCGTTAAAAAAGCATGCACAGAATATCGTGTAAATGACAATCGCACACATTTTGGTGGTAAATTTATATCAGCACTTTTTTGTGTTCTCTATGTTGTTTACTGAGCAATTATTGTAGATGTGCTTAATTCATTAGTGCGCTAATTTCTCAAAAAGTGAAAATGTGCTAAAATTTGAATGCACTTGATTCGGTACATTTACAATAGATTTACATGCAAGGTCTGAGAATGAATCTGGGTGCCTTGATTCAGTAAATGTATATTTGACATAAGCTCTAGTTCACTTGATTTGTATGAGGTTCTCTGTACTCTTCATAAGTACTTATGGCACAAGATATTTTCTTTGTACAATCTATTGTACAATAATATTTGAGCAGTTAAAGCGAGTTTCGCGATGTAACATTTTTCGCCCGTCCCATATCAAAGAAATGTATGGAAATGGTAATAATGAGTCAAAATGTCTGGAGGAAAACTGCAATACGTTTAAACAATAGATGGATAACAATAACTGTGAATTCTTGTCTGAGCTATCATGGTAATGAACCTGCTTTTAAATGTTGAAGTTGATCAATTAAAAACAACTTTCGATAATGGGCAGACTTTACTTCTATAACTAAATAATGGTCCATAATTCTGTAAAATTTGGTCTGAAAATTGCAGTCATCAAATTTTTTCCAGCTATCATGGTGATGAACCTTCCTATGAAGTTTGAAGTTGATTTCTTGATAATATCTTGGGAAATTGAGCAGACACTGTTTTGATAATTGAATAAGAGGTCCCAACTCTATGAGTTACAGTCCAAAATTACAGTGATCGTAACTGTTTGATCTATCATAGTTTTAAACCTTTCTATTAAGTTTGAAATGGAGTGGATGCTGTTTCTGTAATTAAATAATGGGCCATGACATCATATCTAGTCCAAAAATTGCAATCATCACTTGTCTGAGCTATCATGGTAATGAACCTTGCTATGAAGTTTCAAGTTGATCTGTTAAAATCTACTTGCGAAATCTAGCAGACACTGCTCACATCATAACAAAATATAACCTTTCTTTCGACTTGCGTATAAAATCTTAACACAGCTTTGTTCAACTATTTCAATGTAACAGACAATGATTTAACGAAACTAATGTGAAATGTCATTTTTATTGCTCTTGGTTTACTATTAAAAATCATAGAAAAAGTAGCATAAAACATTATGCAATAAAGATTGCACAAAATATCTTTTAAACTGACAAGAAAATGAATCCAAATCCCAACAGAAAAAAAAACGAAACAGTATAGTGATAATATAATGAATTAATGCACAACTCAGGTTTTCAAAACCTTTGATCACCATCATCACTGCATGACATGTCAAAAGGACAAAACAGCTGTATGATTAAGTTTTGTTCAAAGATGCTGTGCCATGGTATAAGCTCACTTGGCCCTTTGGTCCAGGTGAGCTAATAATTGGTTCTGTAAACTTTACATATACCTCTATTACAAAATAGCTTACAGAGAAAAAACTTTTTCAGAATACTATACATAAAATTCTAACATGTTCTTGAAAGTGCTTCTGTGTGGCACTGTTTGAAAGTGATATATTGTTAATCTTTGTAAGAACTGTTTAGAAAATTTAACAAAACAATACTACTCCTACTCCTTATAATAGCGATGACTATCAGTTGTGTAACTGATGGAAAATGAATACTACATATGAAATAAGTTTTTCTCCTATGAGACAAGTATAAAAAATAGCACAAGGGGTACAAAATCACGAAACTATAAAAAATAAACTTTGTAGTTTCATCTTTCAATAAAACCTGGAATTGGCACAACTCTTAAGGAATGCTTACAAGTATCAAACTATTACTGTTCCAGATTTCAACATATTATTTATAGTTTAATAAACACACCTATCACAGTTACTTCCTCATAATCAACTTTCAATTTATACAGCTAGGTGGACTAGATCCACCAACTGACACTAGGACACAAGCCACTGCAACCTAATACCACTTGAACTTAGCACCTCTCTTCTACCTTTTATTTCCTATGGTCAGGAATTGACACACCAGGAATTAATATCTTTATATTAAAATAATCTAGTCATGTAAAGGAATAACAAAAACACTGATGTCATCAAACGACGCCTGGTCATCAGAATTTTTCTTCCTCCATCCTTGTCCTGTGTAGAACCCCCGGGCTTGTGTGACCAACTCTTGTGCAGCAGCTGTATACCTGAAGATTCAGAGGAAGTTCACTTAAATTGTTTTCAATTGACACTCTTGGTCAAAAAGGTAAAAAGGTATAGGCAAAAAGTAAATTTAATGCAGTTTCTGTTGATTTTCTTCTTAACCGATTGGCATTCATAATGCCAATGAATGCAGACTAAAACAGTTCAATCCTTTTATTCATTATTACATTTATTGATTATGATTTACAATTTTCATATTGTTGTTGGGGAAAATGACCTAAATTTGTATACATTACTTGCGATATTCCAATGTCATTGGCAGTTTATGAGCTAGTAATACACAAATGGCTTTGGTAAGGTCACATTTCAACAATGCATTACAATAGTAAATACACTGAATTATTGACCAATAAGAGGATTTTTCTAGAAATGATCACACTTTAGCTTTTTATCACATATTGGAGAATATGCCATTGCCATATTCCTTGCCTATGTCACCATTGTTATATACCCCTGAGCTTTTTTCATTGGTTGTGCAATTTATTAAGATTTCATAATAATGGACCATGATTTTACATTGTGAATTGAAATTGGTGCACCATAATGGCTACCTCCTTTTGATTTTGACTTTAAATCCTGTCAAAATATCCCTTCTCTATTTAATGTGATAAATGTTATCTTGAAATTTGCTTTCATTTGATATGAGATTTTATGAAACTCATTTCGAAGTTTTAATTTCAGGTCACCACGGCCAAAAAGAAAAAATTATAAGCCTTGTTTCATTCTTCTCATGAAAGCTAACTGAATAAATTTTCTCTTTTTGTTGTTTACTAGTGTGTAAATATTTACATTCTGAAAGTATTTTTTCTCGTTATTTATGCTCCTTGAAAATCAATAATCGTCATTCCTGGGATATTATATGCACTGGCAGAACTACCCAACAACTGATGGAATAGTAAAACAGCAGATATACATTTCCTGGGAAAATTTATCAACTAAAGGAAGTAAACAGAAAATTGGTCCACAATGACATCTTTTTAATTTTTGTGAGGTATTTTCAATATTTACATCTCCATTCACATAATGTTTTTGTAGACTTTTGTAGTTCATACAAAATAAACTCACAAAATAAAAAAAAAAAAATAATGGAACAAGTGCAATAGCGCATTTACACTAATTTTTACTACAAGTCAAGTGTATAGTGTAAACATCAATTTTGTTGGTAAGGCCAGAGAGAGAATACACACAGGAAAAGTCATTATAATATACCTGTCCATATTAATGGATATGAGTTGGTACTGATAGAACATCAATATAATCTTATTGTGTTGATACATTTGTTTCACAAATATTTAGACTCAAAGACTTTTTGTTCTTTAGAAGAAGTTTTTAGAGCTTGAACAACCCCGAATGGTATGCAAATTCTTCAGAAAAGCTTTTGTCTCCACATAATTTATTCTCTTTGGTTTACCTTTTGTAGTCGTTAGAATTATAGCTGGCAAGAGTCTGTCTGACAATGGCTGCAGCCTCCGAGTTTGATATAACATCCCACAAACCATCTGATGCCATAATTATCACACAATTTTCTCCTAGCTCTTCTTCTTTAGTATCAAAAATTTCAACCTAGAAGATAAATAGCTGGTTATAGTTATGATGAATTAATCTGGTTTTTAATACAAGATAAATTAATACTGAAACATGTTAAAATGTGCAGTAATTTCACATACTGTATCAATTTGGATGACATTCCTATTAGATTGGTAACTAAAAACAATTTACAACAGTATAAACTTGATAATTACCATCTGCAAATTTTTCATTTGCATATCTAGGCTACATGAGAAATGTTTATACCATCATTATCCTTGAAAAATTAGGAAAATGTCACCAAAAACAATAGCAACTACAGTACAGATATCCCATCTGTGTTGGACATCCCCATTTAAACAGTATAGCTACAATATACTGCCACATATCTCAAAATACATTTGTATTGTCACTGAAGTACCTGTATACAATAAAGGCGAAACTTTTCTTTCTTCTCTTGTTGATAGAATATTTTTATTTCAAAGTTAAAGAAACAGACTATGTTTATCTTACCTCTGGAATTGGTGTAAGAAAAGGTTTGACATATATATCTGAATCAAAAACTCGTAAGTCATGGTCACCAAAACCTCGGGCCACTCCTATTGTTTCCATGAGTCGAGACTGTAAAACATGCAATGTGGCTAAATATATATTTTCAAATTTAAAATAGACATCACAAAAACTATTTCATTTTATGTGTTCGTTTATGCTAGTAACAATATACAAAGGCAATGGTACATTATTACGTGCTATTATTTGTAAACTGAAGTAGAAAGTTATATGATGCATCATACTGAAAACCTAAATCTTATAATGATCTACAGAAGAATACTTTTTTTCGTACCTTTTTTCCAGTTCGAGTTACTAGTGGAAACTTCAGTGCATCATAATCAGCCACTTTATATGCCCTGTAACATGAAATGACTCACAGAATGTACTTATATTTCATAATAGTATCTAATTCTACATTAAATCTACTTCCTTTGACGATTGAAAAAGATTATATTTTCCTTAATCTAATCTCTGTCATGTGACTAATTTATCACTCTGTCATGTGACTCCTTGCAATGTGTCACATGACTTCTTACTGCCTGTTGTAAGACTACATGCCACCTATAATGTGACTTTGTAGCCAACACACAATTATGCCGTGTCACCAGCTCATCTGAATTTATAATGTCAATTTCATATTAGCCTATCATGACCTGTTCAAATCATGAAAAATGCTAGAATCCCTGGATATTTCTCTACTTTTGTCCAGTATTTAAAAGATTCCACTTAGGATTTTTTTTATAGAATAAGAAAAGCTCTAAAAAGTTTTATATCTGTATCATCCGAGCAGCGCTACACCAACTGGCAGCAGAAAGTGGAACAGGGAATTCGAGATTGATAATGGAAAGGGAATATTTATAATATTCTTTGTCACCAAAAGCTCTACATTACAATGGTTCCAAGTTAGAATTACATACTATATCCTTGTAACAAACACTTTTCTTTATAAAATAAATTTAAATGTTTTAGTTGTGTAATGAAAGAGTCATCCATTTGAATCTCTACTTGATGTTTTGGTAATACTATTTGTCTAGAAGCACTTATCTATTCCATTGAGGAATATCATCTAACTCAAAACTATATATATTACAGTAAAAATGAACCCACTTTTTATTTTTTTTCCCCAAAATTTGTCTATCTGCTTAGTGATAACTTTCTTACAAAACTAGCTCTCTCTCAAAAATAATTTCTACTTTCAACTTATTTTACATTGTGTTGAAACGATATTTTTCAGTGAGGGTGTGTGATTGTGAGGGTATGGGTGTGTGAGGTCGTGGGTGTGTGAGGGTGTGGGCATGATTGTAAGGAGTGGTGTGTTTGGGTGTGCAAGGGTTTGTGTGTTTGAGGGATTCTGTGTGTGAAGGGTGCATACTTACTTGTGTAAGGTATGATAGTGATAAATGTATACCATCATGGGTGTAAAGTGTGCATGTATGACAATGATGATGACGATGATGATGACGATGATGATGATGATGATGATGATGATGATGATGATGATGATGATGATGACGATGACGATGATGATGACGATGATGATGATGATGACGATGATGATGATGATGATGATGATGATGATGATGATGATGATGATGATGATGATGATTCTCAAGGGAATACAGTGTATCTTGTTTATGTTAAATATTTGTTAAATGTATTGAAAATATCTAAAAAATACAAAAAAACCACAAGAAAGCAGCATTTAAAAGATACAAACATAATTTTTGGAGTTGAGTTGACATAGCCAAAATGATTTCCACATAACAAAGAACATCTTCTAAATACATACAAATGTGATTATCAGGTGTTTACCCTTTAAAACATCCTGTCACCCTTGATTTTGAAGGCCATGACCTGATATTATGTGACAAGAGGTTAGCGACACTGTATCATGTGACTACACTCATCGTCTGTCATGTGACTACTTACCATCTAGTCATGTGACTACCAGGTACTTACCATCCTGTCATGTGTGGAGATCTGTAGAGTACCCTGTGACCAATATCCTGCCTGAATATGCGACGTGTATATTCTGTACATGTGAATTCTCCATGTAACAACTCTGGTTTGGCGTCTCCCTACAGGAAATATATCAGAAAGTCATGTAGCTGTTACCTAATAATTCATTTGATTCTGTGTGAAACTGGCATCTACTTTGCTATGTAGAGTTTTGTGTGTATCCAACAGCTAATATGACAAAGCATTCTGTGTGCAGATGATCGTTAGTGTTACAATATTAGTATATCGACTATATCAATGTTTTGATATTAATATATAACTGTAGAAACAAAAGCATAAAAATACTGCAAGCTACACAATAGACAGTAAAACATAAATACATCTTATCACAAAACCATCAACATTGTGACAATGACCTCTGTCACAAAACCCTCAACATTGTGACAATGACCTCTGTCACAAAACCCTCAACACTGTGACATTGACCTCTGTCACAAAACCCTCAACACTGTGACAATGACCTCTGTCACAAAACCCTCAACATTGTGACAATGACCTCTGTCACAAAACCCTCAACACTGTGACATTGACCTCTGTCACAAAACCCTCAACACTGTGACATTGACCTCTGTCACAAAACCCTCAACACTGTGACAATGACCTCTGTCACAAAACCCTCAACACTGTGACAATGACCTCTGTAACAAAACCCTCAACATTGTGACAATGACCTCTGTCACATTACCCTCAACACTGTGACATTGACCTCTGTCACATTACCCTCAACACTGTGACCTTGACCTCTGTCACAAAACCCTCAATACTGTGACATTGACCTCTGTCACAAAACCATCAACATTGTGACAATGACCTCTGTCACAAAACCCTCAACACTGTGACAATGACCTCTGTAACAAAACCCTCAACACTGTGACATTGACCTCTGTCACAAAACCCTCAACACTGTGACAATGACCTCTGTCACAAAACACTCAACACTGTGACAATGACCTCTGTCACAAAACCATCAACACTGTGACATTGACCTCTGTCACATTACCCTCAACACTGTGACATTGACCTCTGTCACAAAACCATCAACACTGTGACAATGACCTCTGTCACAAAACCCTCAACACTGTGACAATGACCTCTGTCACAAAACCCTCAACATTGTGACATTGACCTCTGTAACAAAACCCTTGACACTGTGACATTGACCTCGGCCACATTTAACAGTACCGGTATGTACTTACAAGGTTAGTCAGTCGTTCTCTTTCTGCATATGGTGTATGGTCACGAGATAACGGAACTATCTTCTCCCCAGCACACAATACTGCTCTGTAAACCAAGGAAACTGTCTTTAATATTGATGTCATATTCTTATAATTGACATCTACAATTACAGAAAAAATGAATAATTACTGACAGGTTAAAAAATTAATAATTACTGACAGGTTGTTAGTCAGGATCACTGCTCTAGAGGTTCATGCAGCTGGAATTTAGTAGCATAGCACTGGTTATCTTAATAACAATTTACCTTGATTCACAGTGATGTTTCAAGACTGATGAAAAGTTAACTGACGGACTTTAAATTTGGTTTACATTTTCCTTGAACAAGTACCATTTAACATTGATTTGGGTTTTTTCATTTTTTTTTTCAGAATTTTTTAAAAGTTTTTAAATATTAAAACTAATTACAACCTATAGTAGGATACATTAGATGGTTCAGAAACAGTTACTATGGCAACACAATGCTGGCCTCTGAGTAGTCAAAATTTAGATATTATCAAATTTTGATCAAATTTGGTATTTAGGCATATGAAGGGATGACAAATAGCACTGTACACATTTCATTGCAATGACAACTTTGCTGAGACAAACTATGGCCTCTTATTGGTTGAAATTTAGATTATGAGTGATTCTTTTTACCAGAATTTTGTATACAGAAGTATATACTTTATACTTTCTTTATGAAGTATTGACCAAACTGGCATATAGAGGTCTTTGCATCTGTGGGTGGTATAAGTTATCCTAGGGAAGATAGTTCTAGTAAGACAGAGTGAAAGCAAATTATTTATGGTATAAGAAGACAATTGTTGATAACCACTAATCTATGGTAAAGTAAGACACTTACTGACAACCAATAATATATGGTAGAAGTAAACACTTATTGACAACCAATAATCTATGGTAGAAGTAAACACTTACTGACAACCAATAATCTATGGTAGAAGTAAACATTTACTGACAACCAGTATTATATGGTAGAAGTAAACATTTACTGACAACCATTAATCTATGGTAGAAGTAAACACTTACTGACAACCAATAATCTATGGTAGAAGTAAACACTTACTGACAACCAGTATTATATGGTAGAAGTAAACATTTACTGACAACCATTAATCTATGGTAGAAGTAAACATTTACTGACAACCACTAATCTATGGTAGAAGTAAACATTTACTGACAACCATTAATCTATGGTAGAAGTAAACATTTACTGACAACCAATAATCTATGGTAGAAGTAAACATTTACTGACAACCAGTATTATATGGTAGAAGTAAACATTTACTGACAACCAATAATCTATGGTAGAAGTAAACATTTACTGACAACCATTAATCTATGGTAGAAGTAAACATTTACTGACAACCAGTATTATATGGTAGAAGTAAACATTTACTGACAACCAATATTATATGGTAGAAGTAAACACTTACTGACAACCAGTATTATATGGTAGAAGTGACAACCACTAATCTATGGTAGAAGTAAAGATTTACTGACAACCAATAATCTATGGTAGAAGTAAACATTTACTGACAACCAATAATCTATGGCAGAAGTAAACATTTACTGACAACCATTAATCTATGGTAGAAGTAAACACTTACTGACAACCACTAATCTATGGTAGAAGTAAACATTTACTGACAACCACTAATCTATGGTAGAAGTAAACATTTACTGACAACCAATAATCTATGGTAGAAGTAAACATTTACTGACAACCACTAATCTATGGTAGAAGTAAACATTTACTGACAACCAATAATCTATGGTAGAAGTAAACATTTACTGACAACCAATAATCTATGGCAGAAGTAAACATTAACTGACAACCAGTATTATATGGTAGAGGACATACCTACAATCTCCAGCATTTGCTACATATACTTTCCCAAACATAAACATAGTAACAATGGCAGCACAGCCCCCTCGTATAGTGTAGGTAAGGCGTTCCCGCATGATCTGGTCATCCTAGAATAAAACAGAGTACTTAAAAAACATCATCTTGCAAAATTTCATGATTTTACAAATATAGATATAATGATTCTGATCTCTGGTATCTACATGGGTATCTTTAAACCTTTTGAATAGATTACTTTAATAATAAGTCAATATCTGGGAACAATATTTCTACAGTCAAGACTGAGGATTAATTTTCCTTTTGACAACATTTGAAAACAGTATTTCAACAGTCAATATTTGTGGACAACATCTTTATAGTTGATATTAAGAAACAATGTCCTTAGATTCAACACTATGAAAACAATGTCCCTAGATTCAACATTAAGAAACAATGTCCCTAGATTCAACATTAAGAAACAATGTCCCTAGATTCAACATTAAGAAACAATGTCCCTAGATTCAACATTAGTAAACAATGTCCTAGATTCAACATTAGGAAACAATGTCCCTAGATTCAACATTAGGAAACAATGTCCCTAGATTCAGCATTAAGATAACAATGTCCCTAGATTCAACATTAAGAAACAATGTCCCTAAATTCAACATTAGGAAACAATGTCCCTAGATTCAACATTAGGAAACAATGTCCCTAGATTCAACATTAGTAAACAATGTCCCTAGATTTTTACATTTGTAAACAATGACCCTAGATTCAACATTAGTAAACAATGTCCCTAGATTCAACACTATGAAAACAATGTCCCTAGATTCAACATTAAGAAAACAATGTCCTTCGATTCAACATCAGTAAACAATGTCCCTAGATTCAACATTAGTAAACAATGTCCCTAGATTCAGCATTAAGAAAACAATGTCCCTAGATTCAACATTAAGAAACAATGTCCCTAGATTCAACATTAGGAAACAATGTCCCTAGATTCAACATTACGAAACAATGTCCCTAGATTCAACATTAGGAAACAATGACCCTAGATTCAACATTAAGAAACAATGTCCCTAAATTCAACATTAGGAAACAATGTCCCTAGATTCAACATTAGGAAACAATGTCCCTAGATTCAACATTAGTAAACAATGACCCTAGATTCAACATTAAGAAAACAATGACCCTAGATTCAACATTAGGGAAACAATGTCCTTAGATTCAACACTATGAAAACAATGTCCCTAGATTCAACATTAAGAAACAATGTCCCTAGATTCAACATTAAGAAACAATGTCCCTAGATTCAACATTAAGAAACAATGTCCCTAGATTCAACATTAGTAAACAATGTCCCTAGATTCAACATTAGGAAACAATGTCCCTAGATTCAACATTAGGAAACAATGTCCCTAGATTCAGCATTAAGATAACAATGTCCCTAGATTCAACATTAAGAAACAATGTCCCTAGATTCAACATTAGGAAACAATGTCCCTAGATTCAACATTAGTAAACAATGTCCCTAGATTCAACATTAGTAAACAATGTCCCTAGATTTTTACATTTGTAAACAATGACCCTAGATTCAACATTAGTAAACAATGTCCCTAGATTCAACACTATGAAAACAATGTCCCTAGATTCAACATTAAGAAAACAATGTCCTTCGATTCAACATCAGTAAACAATGTCCCTAGATTCAACATTAGTAAACAATGTCCCTAGATTCAGCATTAAGAAAACAATGTCCCTAGATTCAACATTAAGAAACAATGTCCCTAGATTCAACATTAGGAAACAATGTCCCTAGATTCAACATTACGAAACAATGTCCCTAGATTCAACATTAGGAAACAATGACCCTAGATTCAACATTAGTAAACAATGTCCCTAGATTCAACATTAGGAAACAATGTCCCTAGATTCAACATTCGTAAACAATGTCCCTAGATTCAACATTAGGAAACAATGACCCTAGATTCAACATTAAGAAAACAATGACCCTAGATTCAACATTAGGGAAACAATGTCCCTAGATTCAACATTTGTAAACAATGTCCCTAGATTCAACATTAAGAAAACAATGTCCCTAGATTCAACATTAGTAAACAATGTCCCTAGATTCAACATTAGTAAACAATGTCCCTAGATTCAGCATTTGTAAACAATGTCCCTAGATTCAACATTAAGAAAACAATGTCCCTAGATTCAACATTAAGAAAACAATGTCCCTAGATTCAACATTAGTAAACAACGTCCCTAGATTCAACATTAGTAAACAATGTCCCTAGATTCAACATTAAGAAAACAATGTCCCTAGATTCAACATTAGTAAACAATGTCCCTAGATTCAACATTAAGAAAACAATGTCCCTAGATTCAACATTTGTAAACAATGTCCCTAGATTCAACATTAAGAAACAATGTCCCTAGATTCAACATTAGTAAACAATGTCCCTAGATTCAGCATTAGGAAACAATGTCCCTAGATTCAACATTAGGAAACAATGACCCTAGATTCAACATTAAGAAACAATGTCCCTAGATTCAACATTAGTAAACAATGTCCCTAGATTCAACATTAGTAAACAATGTCCCTAGATTCAACATTAGTAAACAATGTCCCTAGATTCAACATTAGTAAACAATGTCCCTAGATTCAACATTAGTAAACAATGTCCCTAGATTCAACATTAGTAAACAATGTCCCTAGATTCAACAGTAGGAAACAAAGTATTATTCCTACAGTTATCCATAGGAAACAATGTAAGCGAGTCGGTATAAGGGAACAATGCTTCTAGGCAACACTGAGGAACAGTTTTCCTAAAATTCACATCAAGAGCCTTGGATTTTATCATATTTTCAAAAAATCATGGCCTTTTTAGAGGAATATCCTAATTCATCATCTCCTCATATAAAGAGGCTTACATTACAGAGCAATAATACTAGATCTTACCAGTTCTACAAATGCCTCCTCCAGGACACCAGTGATGAGCTCATCTACAGAGATGTTACTAAGATTTCCCAGGTTCAGATCCTCTGCTTTCTGTTTAGAAGGCACTAATTTCTGATTAATCACCTCCCATGTACAATTCAACTTGTCCTGAAAAAAAGGTATAAACTCACACATCAAGACTGTCATATTTAGAATGTGTATAAGATACTAATTATCCCCTCGTCACTTTATAGTGTAAGATACTAATTGTCCCCTTGTCACTTTATAGTGTAAGATACTAATTGTCCCCTTGTCACTTTATAGTGTAAGATACTAATTGTCCATTAGTCACTTTATAGCGTAAGATACTAATTGTCCCCTTGTCACTTTATAGTGTAAGATACTAATTGTCCCCTTGTCACTTTATAGTGTAAGATATTAATTATCCCCTCGTCACTTTATAGTGTAAGATACTAATTGTCCCCTTGTCACTTTATAGTGTAAGATACTAATTGTCCCCTTGTCACTTTATAGTGTAAGATACTAATTGTCCCCTAGTCACTTTATAACATAAGCTACTAATTGTCCCCTAGTCACTTAATAGTGTAAGATACTAATTGTCCCCTAGTCACTTTATAACATAAGCTACTAATTGTCCCCTAGTCACTTAATAGTGTAAGATACTAATTGTCCCCTCGTCACTTTATAGTGTAAGATATTAATTGTCCCCTAGTCACTTTATAGTGTAAGATACTAATTGTCCCCTAGTCACTTTATAGTGTAAGATACTAATTGTCCATTAGTCACTTTATAGTGTAAGATACTAATTGTCCCCTTGTCACTTTATAGTGTAAGATACTAATTGTCCCCTAGTCACTTTATAGTGTAAGATACTAATTGTCCCCTAGTCACTTTATAGTGTAAGATACTAATTGTCCCCTAGTCACTTTATAACATAAGATACTAATTGTCCCCTAGTCACTTTATAACATAAGATACTAATTGTCCATTAGTAACTTAATAGTGTAAGATACTAATTGTCCCCTCGTCACTTAATAGTGTAAGATACTAATTGTCCCCTAGTCACTTTATAGTGTAAGATACTAATTGTCCCCTAGTCACTTTATAACATAAGATACTAATTGTCCCCTAGTCACTTTATAGTGTAAGATACTAATTGTCCCCTAGTCACTTTATAGTGTAAGATACTAATTGTCCCCTAGTCACTTTATAGTGTAAGATACTAATTGTCCCCTAGTCACTTTATAGTGTAAGATACTAATTGTCCCCTAGTCACTTTATAGTGTAAGATACTAATTGTCCCCTAGTCACTTTATAACATAAGATACTAATTGTTCCCTTGTCACTTTATAGTGTAAGATACTAATTGTCCATTAGTAACTTAATAGTGTAAGATACTAATTGTCCATTAGTCACTTTATAGTGTAAGATATTAATTGTCCCCTCGTCACTTTATAACATAAGATACTAATTGTCCCCTAGTCACTTAATAGTGTAAGATACTAATTGTCCCCTTGTCACTTTATAGTGTAAGATACTAATTGTCCCCTTGTCACTTTATAGTGTAAGATACTAATTGTCCCCTAGTCACTTTATAGTGTAAGATACTAATTGTCCCCTAGTCACTTTATAGTGTAAGATACTAATTGTCCCCTAGTCACTTTATAACATAAGATACTAATTGTTCCCTTGTCACTTTATAGTGTAAGATACTAATTGTCCATTAGTAACTTAATAGTGTAAGATACTAATTGTCCCCTCGTCACTTAATAGTGTAAGATACTAATTGTCCCCTCGTCACTTAATAGTGTAAGATACTAATTGTCCCCTAGTCACTTTATAGTTTAAGATACTAACTGTCCCCTAGTCACTGAATAGTGGAAAATACTAATTGTCCATTAGTCACTTTATAGTGTAAGATATTAATTGTTCCCTAGTCACTTTAGTGAAAGATATTTCACATTTAGTTGAGTTTTTTTATTTCATAAAAATTAATATATAGAATGAGCTAAAGTATATATATTTGTTGGTGTTCTTGTTATTTGAAGTTTGCAAGAAAATAAAATTAGAATATGATTCAAAGCATTTAATTTACCTCTGATGACTAAACAGATATTCTTATTGTTCCTGTCACAAAACCGTTTTACTGATAATTGCTGAAAGCTAAGCTGAAGTAAGGTACTGAAATAACAATGGCGATGTAGGCAAATAATTTAAGGACAAAACAATACATTAGTATATATACTGGTAGTTATAATACCTCTATGTGTTTGTGTAGGATTTTGGATGCAAGCAAAGCAGCATCAGCACCAGCATGGCCATCAAATATCCCAAAGTAGGTCACAGGAACTAAATCCTAAAAATATCAAATGATACAATTTAGATCAGAAGTACCTTCCAAAAAAACATACATCAAATATCCTTAAGTAGGTCACAGGTAATAAAGCTCACAAATATACAAATATCAAATATCCTTAAGTAGGTCACAGGTACTAAATTCTACAAATACATATATATCAAATATCCCTAGGTAAGTCACAGGTAATAGAACATACAAATATACATATATCAAATATCTTAATTAGGTCACAGGTACTGAATTCTACAAATATATATATATATCAAATATCTTAATTAGGTCACAGGTAATGAAGCTTACAAATATACATATATCAAATATCCCTCAGTAGGTCACAGGTACTACTGCAAACCTACATGTACATACATAAAATATCTTAATTAAGTCACACTTTCAAGGCCAAACATACATAACTTTATCTCAATTAACAAGATATCAAAAATTTACTTATTCTCACAACTACCAATTTTGTCAAATTAAAAATCAGCTGCGACTGATATGTGTTTTATATTTCATCAGAGGGACTGTTTATATACGACTCACCGAGCCATCACCGACAACTTCTGTCATAACCATTACAGGTTGTTTCTGTTCTGTTGCTGTCTTGGTGGGTTTATATCCCAAGAAGAATTCTTCTGCTGCCCCCTGGTCTTCATTAACTGCACTTTTACCGCCATTAATAACCCTAAAATACAGAACATTGATAACCCTGTAATACAGAACTTGATTTACTCTATAATACAGAACATTGATAACAAAATAATACAGAACTTGATTTACTCTATAACACAGAACTTTGACTATCATATGATAAAGAACATTAATTAACCTATAATACAGAACATTTATAACCCTATAATACAGAACATTGATAACCCTATAATACAGAACATTGATAACCCTATAATACAGAACATTGATAACCCTATAATACAGAACATTGATAACCATATAATACAGAACATTGATAACCCTTTAATACAGAACATTGATTACCCTAAAATACAGAACATTGATAACCCTATAATACAGAACATTGATAACCCTATAATACAGAACATTGATTACCCTATAATACAGAACATTGATAACCCTATAATACAGAACATTGATAACCATATAATACAGAACATTGATAACCATATAATACAGAACATTGATAACCCTATAATACAGAACATTGATAACCCTATAATACAGAACATTGATAACCCTATAATACAGAACATTGATACAGAACCCAATATAATACAGAACATTGATAACCCTATAATACAGAACATTGATAACCCTATAATACAGAACATTGATAACCCTATAATACAGAACATTGATTACCCTATAATACAGAACATTGATAACCCTATAATACAGAACACAGAACATTGATTACCCTATAATACAGAACATTGATAACCCTATAATACAGAACATTGATTACCCTATAATACAGAACATTGATTACCCTATAATACAGAACATTGATTACCCTATAATACAGAACATTGATAACCCTATACTACAGAACATTGATAACCCTATAATACAGAACATTGATAACCCTATAATACAGAACATTGATAACCATATAATACTATAATACAGAACATTGATAACCCTATAATACAGAACATTGATAACCCTATAATACAGAACATTGATAACCCTATAATACAGAACATTGATAACCCTATAATACAGAACATTGATAACCCTGTAATAAAGAACATTGATTAACCCATAACACAGAACATTGATAACCCTAAAATACAGAACATTGATAACCCTATAATATAGAAGATTGACAAGCCTATAATACAGAACATTGACAACCCTATAATACAGAACATTGATAACCCTATAATACAGAACTTGATTTACTCTATAACACAGAACTTTGACTACCATATGATAAAGAACATTAATTAACCTATAATACAGAACATTTATAACCCTATAATACAGAACATTGATAACCCTATAATACAGAACAATGATAACCCTATAACACAGAACATTGATAACCCTATAATACAGAACACAGAAGATTGATAACCCTTTAATACAGAACATTGATAACCCTATAATACAGAACATTGATAACCCTATACTACAGAACATTGATAACCCTATAATACAGAACATTGATAACCCTATAATACAGAACATTGATAACCCTATAATACAGAACATTGATAACCCTATAATACAGAACATTGACAACCCTATACTACAGAACATTGATAACCCTAAAATACAGAACATTGATAACCCTATAATACAGAACATTGATTACCCTAATAATACAGAACATTGATACCCTATACAGAATGAAGAACATTGATAATCTATAATACAAAATATTGATAACCTTATACATATATGTACTATAATACAGAACATTGATAACCCTATAATACAGAACATTGATAACCCTATAATACATAACAATGATAACCTTATATTATAATAAAGAACAATGATTACCTTATAATACAAACAACACAGTGTATATACATTAAGAAACAGACAACCCTTTATGTATAAAAGCCTAGGAATAATGGTAACAATAAACAATGACCTGATACACAACACATTCATGATCAGCCACCTTTATACAAAATGCTTTTTGTGTCATTTTTCTCTCAAGTGACTGTTGATTATCACATTGACCAGTCCCATTTCTGATGGTATATGAGTTCTGAGTTGGTGATCCTAAGAAAAATATTATACTTCATTAAATTCAGTGAAATCCCTGCCTTCCATAAAAAAATGCATACTTACTCAGCATAACCTGCTCGTCTTGGTAGATTTTCACCAGCAGTGACAATGGTTCTAGAACTTGTATTTGTGACCTCTTGTTGTTGTTTCTGCCCCAGCTTTAGGAAATGTGGTCGCTCATACAGGTACTTGCGTGGTTTATTTGGCTCAGTAGTAGTGTTGGACTTTGGGGCTAACTTGTTGACAACACTCCCCACAAATACTTGTACCCTTCCCCACATCGTTATACCGGGTCAGGTCATCGTCTGTAGCCACAAAATACATCAGATGTGGTGTTAGAGATATAATTTAAGTAATACAGACTTACAACTGACAGAGGCCTTATTGTTTCTGTATCAAATGGAACAATAGGTCGAGGCATTCGATTTTGGTATATTCTATCGAAATTTTAAAATGTTTCATTGTGAATCTTTTCAGAAAAATTGTTGCAGACCTCCATCAAAAAGAAATATATAAATACCTCATATAATTATCATGACAAATCCATTAACAAGAGGCCCAAGGGGCTTGCATCGTTCACACGACTATTTCAGCTATTTAGTCATTTCCTTTATTTCCATTATTTGGCTCCTTCCCCGAGGGCTGAGACCCAATGTTTATACAAAATTGATTCCTCCTCACTAAAGTATGTTTCACACCAAATTAGGACAGAATCCTGCTATTTCTACAGATGAAGAAGGATTTTAAATAATTTTCTCTATTTTCCCTATTGAGTCCTGCCTCTCCCACACCAAGGGGTCTAAACCCATTGTTAATTGATTCCACTTAACCCACACCTCCTATAGAGAAAAGATTTTAAAGAGTTATGGCCACAATTTTGGTTTATGTAAAATTCTCTTACATCATAATCTAAATAACACAGCCACCCAGATGGGGCAGCTCAAATATGTCTCGATACCTGGTTTTAGCCGTTGGAAAGTACTCGTTCTACATGAATGAGACCAAGCCTACCATGTAAACAGTTGTGTACAAGGAATACACTTCTCATATAATCCTGTTTTTTGTGATGTCTGTGATTTAAAGTGAAAAATTCTACTTGAAGAAAGAAAACAGTTTAAATGAAACTAAATTAGCAGAAAAGCCATATCTGAGGATCCTGAGTTGGCAATAACACAATAAACATCTCCAAATACATGATCATGGTAGGAACAGCTTCTAATGTCACTATGAAATAACTCTTTGATATATGACATAGCACGTGATTATACAGGTGTTCAAGATCTTTTTATGACTTCAGTTCATCTGTGTCAGAAGTAAAAATTGTTTCAAATCAGAGGTATTTACACTTGTACACATGAAATGTGTATCCAGTTCTATACATGTGTACAACTATTGTAACATAAACAAGAAATTTATGGTGATATACAGCACTAATTGATGGGAAATATGATTGCCAGCAACAATTCAGTAGTAAAAGCTTATAAATCAAATGACTTGAAGGATTTTTTTTGAGAGCCAATATTCCTGTGCATTTTTCAATATGAATATCTCCATCAGGTACTTTCTATGACAGAATAGTTATATCTACAAGAAAATAAATCAATAAGTAACAAATACGTAATTATCACCAATACAGGTTGACTGATTTATATGTATAGATGCAGATAGTGTGGGTGTGTGAACACAAGTGGGGCAAGCTGTTGTACATGTACAAACAGTGATCCCCGAACAGATTCCAATGTTTAGTTCCATTATGTGTTATTTCACTGAAGTGAATTAAATTTATATTTCCATAATACCAAATCTATTTAAGAGGGTGGGAGACACCCACCTGATTGTTTTATATCATTTAAGTGCAAAAAGAAGTTAAATTACCTTTGGGCAAAATGAATTTCACTTCAGTGAAACAAATGTAATGTACATTTCACCTTATGAAGACTTACAATATATACCTGCACATGAAATGCCATGACACAATATAATGTAAGTTATGTGAAAATCAATTATGGCATTTTTAAGACATTTGCTTTCACCAAATTTTACACCATGAGAAAATGTCTAGTTATACGTAACAACTAACTGCTCTTATTTTAGATATCCGCAGTGAATCATCTCGAACAAGGTCCTTCACATTACTACATATAGCCGTGTTCCATTGTTGCATCCCTTTAAAAACATATTGATAAAGAAAAAATAATAACTTTATTTTTTATGGTCATACATTATGATATAAACAATATACTATATAAGGTAATCTTCAGTTTGGAAGGTTTTTATAACATTTGACAATGAATATAATCATGACCTGTGTAGTATTGTCTACTAAGGTAAATAGAGTATTGCTATAGTAACACTTTGAAGTCATGTACCACATGACCTCACTTCACATTCAAAATATGCATATTCACCAGACTAAGATAAAGAGAACAGGGCCAACTCTTGCATTGTCTGTGTGCTAAGACAGGTGGGATACTGCAGTATACATACATTATAACATAATTTTGTAATTTTTTTCTTTTTAACATTTTCTTTACGTGTTGCAGCATGTTTCAGACCAAAATGGGACACCCAAGCATTTCTACAGATATAAAAGGATTTTATAAAATATTTGCTCTTATTACCCTATTGGGCCATGGCCCTCCCACCCTTCAAGGCATAATCCAATATTTTAATAATAATTATGACATCTCCGTTAATAATCATTATGACATCTCCAATAATCAACATAATGACATCTCCATTAACAGGGACGTATAATCTGTATTATACGTCCCTGCCGTTAATAATCATTATGACATTTCTATTAATAAACATTATGACATTTCTATTAATGATCATTATGACATCTCCATTAATAAACATTATGACAACACCGTTAATGTATTAAATATATTGTTTTTGTCCTTGGATTTCTCGACTTCATTAACATATAGATAGATACAAAATCTGGAGCTTTATTTATAACATGTAGCGTAGGTTCTTTATTAATACTTTTTTCTGTTACAACATTTGATGTTTGATGTCCTTCCATACAATGAACATTGTACATGGCAACCCAAGAGAGGTCCACATTGACCAGAACCTTAATACAACCCAAGGGAGATAAACATTGACCAAAAACCTTAATATAACCCAAGAGGGGTCCACATTGACCAGAACCTCAATACAACCCATGAGAGGTCAACATTGACCAAGACCTTAATACAACCAATGGGGGATAAACTTAATTGGGTGTGGGTGGGGGGAAAAGATTGACCAGAACCTTGATACAACAACCCATGGGGATAAACATTGACCAGAACCTTAATACAACCAAAAGGGGGGGGGGGGGGGAGGGGTGTAGAGACTGACCTGAAAATGGATCAGAACCTAAACTGAATACAAGGAGAATAAACTTTTACCAGAATCTGTTTTTGTTGATAATATCCTTAATTTGACGAAGAGTATATGTCAATAATATCTAAAGGATTAATCATCAGAGGACACTGTTCATAAAAGTACAACGTGATTACTGTACTACATATTGTAGGTCAATATACACTGCGTACACTAGGCATGTAATATCTCCAGTATATAAGGACAAACGAAAACATGTGTTTTTATCTGGTATGTCTAATGTTCACATCGTAAGTGATTCGTGTGTCTTGTCACCCTTAAACCCAGTGGGATATATACATAATCATTTACACTTACACTGAAATGCTGCAGGTGTGGTTCACGACAGCCAGACTGTACACTTCCTATATGGAAAACGGAAGTAGCAAACTCTATCAGTTTTGGTATGCGAAAATGGCTATATGTACACTAAGATCAATTTCATATATCATAACGAGTCAATAACAATATCTTCCATGTAAATATCGTGCAAATGTTTATATAGCAGAAAATGATATCATGTCATCCGACTATCGAGTCCGTGTCGGCACGTTATCTCACTTACCGTTCAGATGATAGGGGAAAACAATTTTTAGTACGAGTTATCGACCCTATCGCAAGGTGCTTGAACTTTGCCCTCCAGAAGTGTTGATTTTCTGAGCTAGGCCTACCTGTCCAAGTTACGATGAAATAAGGCATGAATTTCGTAATGTTATGCGATAATGTTCTTTCTTCGTTTTAATAATTGATCTGCTTTGCTCACGTGGTAAAATTTTGTTTGTAAAGCACATGCGAGTAAAATAATACAAAAATATGTTATAAAAATATTATATTCCAAGAGAACAAACTTGCTACTGTAAGTTTAATTACTCTGCTCTAGAATAGAATATTTCACTCCAGTCATTGTAAAACACTAGCAAAACGATATAAATCTAACAGCATTGATATATCGCCATAGAACAATTATGAATAATATATACGGGTAGCAACAAATAATACAGACATAGATATCTTTATTTTGTCATTATTTACTACCTTCTATATCTACTATGTACAATTGATCAAACGTTAGCACGACCCATTTTTTTTATCTACATAAACATTCTTCATGCCGACCGCATTAGCGAATAAATAAATAAATAAGTAAATAAATAAACAAATAATAATGAATAAGAAAAAAGTTTCTATGTTGAAGCAGAGACGTCTCTGGTTGAAGGTCGCACCCATGTACATGTCTGTGACTTAATAGTCGCCACATGTGGAACTTGTCTTGTTTCTGAATAAATTCAAATGGAGTTGTCAAAACGAAACAAAATTATTGTATCTCGTTTGTTCTCAGTACAACAAAACAAGAGAAAATAGTAACAGTATTAAATAAAAACCAATAAACAATGCAAAGTAGACTGTATACAAAGTTTCATCATTAGACTATGGGACTGAACTTGTGGTAAGCGTTAATCAGGATAATCCGTTAATGCCACCCTGGTCATTAATCCACATTAATCCTGACCGTTAATCTATAGTGACTGGCTTAACCCGTGAGCTTATTAGATATGTGCCGACCCCCACTAAGGGTTGAACGTGATTTGACACGAGCTGTGCAATTATCCCCCACTGTCATTAATAAGTGTTAATAGATTTATATAATCAGTAATAAATCAGTTAAGTAATTTCTGGGGTAGAAATTTATTGTATCAGCCCCCAACCCTGCAATCAACCTTCACCTATTTCCCACTCCACCTGTTTTGTACTTTTGTACTACACCTTATTTAAGCTTGTGGGTTTCGTTAAATGGAAATATGACTACAGTATGTATTGACTTCTTATTCAATTACTTAAGATACTAATATAGAAATCGGAGAAACAGAGAATGGATATTTTTTATAAAACACCGGTCCGAGAACAAAATATTATAAGATAATAT